TTCAATGTGGAAATGTTAATGTACATAAAATGAGATGCGCTGGCCATTCAGAAAATCGTAATTTGAAGCAAAGCGGAAGAAATCTATTCAGTTTACTGAATAAATATTGTTTAAATTCAAAGCGGAAGAAAAACCTTTCGCATTAATCTGTGGACTTATTTTTTTTTTCTCTCACACAAACTCTATATAATTTTTTTTTATAATGTATCATGGAATTGAATCCATGATGAAAATTAGGATATAATTTGTCTTATTTCTTATTTCAGGAAGAGTACGAATTTTGTTACAAAGCAGTTTCAGATTTTCTGAATACAGACAGTGTTTACGCCAACACCTGAAACAGCTTGGTCTTTTTTGACTTGTAAGAAAGTTATTCATACGATTTACGGTAACCAATAAAACTAGTCTAAAGGATAATATTATGTGTTAGATTTTCCTTTTATTTATAATTACTGAGCTGTGCATTTTCTTATTATACAGCATTTTGATTTATGTTTTCCTTTTTTAATCATTGTATCCAAGCATATTCATGTATATTTTATAGTTTATCAAAAGCTAACTGATTATCCTAGTTTCCTGGGTTTTTTTTTTTTTATAAATAAGGTATTATAGGAGTATGTTTTAATCAGACTTAAAGTTCGCATTTAGCGTTAGCTTGACCATGTTGATTTTTGTTCATTGATTCTTTGTCAGAAAATTTTATTACTAGTAACATCAAGAATTAATTAAAGTGACATTTCAATTATTTCACGTTATTAATGTGTACGTATCAATTCTTGATGTGTGTTATTTTACATATTACAAGTGAAATGAGAATATGTTTCCAATTTAACAAAAAACTCTTTGAATACGTTTTAATAAAGACGGTAACTGATCTATTGAACATAATTTTTGCTGGAGGAAGTGGTCGTATAATTTTGAAATATTTATTTTTAAAGAGACGGGGGTACATTATGACTGGGGTAATTTCAACATTAGGTACATGTAAATGGTACATGCGAGTCTTTAGTCTAATTAATTGTTCATCTAAAAGCGTAAAAACTGAAATTAAGAAGTAAAAGAGAAATGTTTTATTGTTTGTTGAATGACAATATCTGTTGCTACTTGTATGTTTTTTTCATTTTATGGCACAAGTAATAAAATTAAATGGTGTGTTATCTAAGCTGGAATTTAAATAACAATGTAATATATAATTATGTATATCAAGGTTAAAAATATATTAGTGAGAAATGTACGAAAGCCCAGAAGGCTCATTCGAGATTCAAGGTTCGAAATAAGAGATTCGATATTTGAGATTCGAAACTCGAGTTTCAAGATTCAAGATCCAGATTAACCAATCAAAAGCTCCCAAAAGGCTCACTCGAGATTCAAGGTTCGAAATACGAGATTCGAATTTCGAGATTCAAGATCTAGATTAACCAATCAAAAGCAGATTCAAGATTTGATTACTCCCCTTTATTTTGATTTTACTATCAAGAAATCTTTTAATATATAAATAACAAATAAGTCATTTAATTAAATTGAATGCAAGAAAAAGTGTTATATATATTTGAAGGAAATTTATATAATCATTTGACTTTTGATCAGCAAGATATACTTCAATTCATATTATGGCTTCTTAAATGTTAAATAGAATACATTTATCAGAAATATATATATTTTTGTACTGTCAACTTTGTTTACGGGGTTGATGGCATATAAATAAAGTTATGAATGCGTGTCAAGGTCTACAGATTAACAATAACCCCACCCCTACCCACCCGCCTGCCCATTTTTCCAAACACACTGAAAGGCTTGAAACTTGAAAGACGACGTAGTATTGACTAAAGAAAAATCGCGTTCGTTTTCCTGATAGAGGAAATACATAATGATTAAGTATTTAATTAATTTTCTTCATCTAAGGAATTGGTTTTTTGAATTAATTAAAAATTATATCTACAATACAGCTTGGTAATATGAATTAAAACAAATGCGGCGTATTTTTTTTATCTTATATCAAATAGTAGATGAGTCTAAATTAGATTCAGAACTATATAGCGTTATGGTGTTATATTTTAGTCTCTGACCATAGCTTTATGGCCAGAGACTAAAATATACTCTTATAAAACCTTCTATTACGCTACAGTTCGATTCCGCAGTCAAGTCTCACTGCACAAATGTACCCTTTATAAATGTAATGAAATATATACCCTTGAATTATTGTGCAGTGTAGATACGATTCATAATATTTCATATCTGATTTAAATCAATTACAACATTCTCCATCAGCAATTATCTGATGAAATAAAATTAGTTCACCTACTTGTTCCGCAAGTCAACGATAAGACCATATAATATTAAATATATACGTATTTACTATTTTGTTAAATGAGAAAAATAAGATTATATATGTATTTTTCAAATTGTAATCCAAATTTAACTTTATTTCGTTTTAATACATAAAACATTTTTTCTTGCATTATCATTTAAGCAAATGATAGATTTGTTGTAAATATATTCATAATATATATAAAAATATATATATATATATATTGAACCCACTTTTGATATATATATATATATATATATATTTCGAATCTCAAATTTCGAATATCGCATTTCGAAACTTGAATCTCGAATGAGCCTTCTGGGCTTTCGTAGAAATGAAAAGTTCTTGTCACATTTTGTACAATATTTTGATCAAATTCTATGGAACTAATATCAATCATCTCTAAATTTTTTTGTATCCATATTGTCTGTTTTATTTTTCTGTTTTTATTCATTTTTTTTTTTTTTATTTCTTTGATTTTTTAAAATCTCTGAATACCCTATGTTGTGATACTTTACTTTGAATCTCTACAATTATGGTTTTGAAAATCAGAGAAAAATTTTTTTATGCATTGTATAACTAGTTATATATTTTGAAAAAATTACATTTTTCTATTTCCGATATGTTTAACATTCAGTTTTCTTGTTGTGAGCTTTTAATTATCTTTGTTCATGCTCTGTTTTATTAGTATTTATGCTTTAATTTCTTTCATCAATAAATTAATTTGCTTTTATTATTTTTATTTCTTGGGGCTCTCATTCTATATGTCCTTTTGGACATACATTTACAATAAAGCTTTAATTCAAGGTGTAAACTGTAGTTGTTCTAGTGAAGTGGATTGCTTGGTTGGTTGTATGTTGTTTTACATCGCATTCGATATTTTATCCTCACATATATTTATCAGCAGTTTATGGGCTATGGGCTTCAAATTTTGACCTTAACTCGGCACTCAGAGCCATTTGGGAGTGAGTGATCTTTTAATTTGTGAAAAAGGACCAAAGCCTTTAAGGTCTCATCAGAAAGACCACAACATTCATTTCAAAGGGACAAGCTCTGAAGGATCATTTGCTACTTATGTTTCATCGAATTAAGTACGTAGCAGCCAGGTTTTAATCCACGACATTCGGATCACGGAATGAACCCTTGAAAGTAGAAGATCTATGTATGGATTATGGCTTTAAGCATATGACTTGCCCACGGGTCTTGAAACATTGAATCAATTCTCTCCTTTGTCTTAGATGTTTTCATTGTCCCCATAATTCTTATCAAGATGCAAAATTGACTTGCAGAATTTGTTGTCTGCTGTTTAACGTACCTCTTAAGATTTTTTTTACTCAAAATGAGACACCGGTCTCCACGTCCCGCGGCGGATTCGATCTTGCAACGTGAGGATCAACTTAATTTTGACTCAAGAGCAGACGCTCTTTCCGCTGCGTAATTTTGATGACATATAGAGTTTAAGGAGGAAATAGTTGAAGAGACAATAATATTATGTTCATTTCTATTATCGTAGAAATTTATTTTGTACCATTATTATACACAGTACTATTAATATATAGAAAGCTTTCTGCCAATCGGAAAAGTTCATATAATTTGTATCATAAGATTTTACGTTTCAGAAAAATGCTCTTTAAAGAATTAGATATCAGGAATAAAGTAAGACAAAAATTTAGTAAATCAGAGGTATTACTAAAAAATGAATTAAAGTAAGCTACAATTTACATATGTACCATTTCAAAATTTTATTTTGATTACGTAATACGTCAAGCTTTATCTTTTGGAGTTTAGAAATGTATTAAGTAGACCATTTGTCCTAGAGTTAAAGTCGCCTCCAGGTACATATGTAAGATACATCCAATTTACTTCACATGTTGTATTCGGAAATGTATTAAATCTTGGATCTTTATTGCATTGTTAGTTATTTTTTTGTTATTTATACAATATCATATATACTGTATATGGCTATATACTGAGTGTGCTTTAATATCAACTTAAGAAACTTCATCTGAACTACTAGTAAGTTAGCATAACATACATGCCAATATACATGATTCTGCCTGTATGTAATAAAGTTGCATACCATCTGTTTGAACAGTTTTCCCTTGATCTGGCAAATAATATCAAAAAGCAAGAATTTTTTTTTTATATTTATTGTAACCAAATTGGATAATTTAGAAAATGTTCTTATGAACTAGGCACTGTGCCGATTTGTTTAAAAGCATTACATATATCTCCTATCTTTAAAAAAAAAAAAAAAAACATTGTTTGATATTGAAATTGGCTAAGCTATCCTCTCACAAAGACATCAGAAATCTCTAATTTGGACCTTTATATTTCTAGTAATCAACATTCCACTATCCTTTAACTCTTGTTAAAACAGATTTAATAAAATACTATGTTTCGAAATAAAAAAAATATCAATGACGTTTAACTTTTTCTAAGGCAACATTTGAAAAAAGATTTTTTTTTAAACTGCAGATACGAGAATTACGAGGTTAATTTAATTGCAATAAGCTGATGATTTTTTTCAGGTCATGGCTTGAATATCTTACGTGTTCGTCCTTACATTTAAAAGGAATGTAAACGCTGTGGTGCTTTTTTTATTAAGGTCTATAGACATTCAGAATTTTTAAATACCCTTGCTTTCCGGTTTTTTAAGGTTCAATATTTTCTGAAGGAGTTATTCTACTTCCTCTTTCAAAATGGATCTACTCTGGTGGATTTGTTGGATTCTTGTATTTAAATGTAATCTTTGCTATGGTGTGTAACTGTTTCTTTTATTATTAACTTCAGCTTATTCTATACTTTTTTAAACGTGCACTTTTATTTACAAATAACATTACAAATAAATTCCAACTGCTATAATTGGTGAAAACAAATCGTCGGTTATATTTTTACAAAATATTTTGATTGAGACTTTGTACAAATAATGTAGTACATTGTAATAATTCTCAAGAGGGTCTATGATAAAAATTTTAGAACTCTACAGCGCAGAAATAATAAAGGAATAGACAGAAAATGCTGAAATTTTTTTAAAGTGATTTACTTCCTTCTTTAACGATATCCTAAACAGGTTTAACGAGTTTGATAAAAATACTTGTTTTTTTCTTTTTCTTTTTGTATATTCTACGTGTAGAATGGGTTATTTTCATTTCAATGCGCATTGATACGGCTAGTCTTGTAGCATTAAATATTCCAAAAGTGGACGACAGAGGAGCAAACACACCAACTTTCAATATGGATTTGTCTCTGAAAATGACATTAACTTTGTCAGATTTTCATTCTCAGTTTTCTCAAATCAATTTGATCGATTAATCTTAAAATATGACAAAGCGCTTCCTCTGAAAAGTGGCTTTATAGAATTTCTGTTGATTTTTTTCTCTTTACAGAGAATTTGAGTGTAAGAAATGCTACTATCGTTTCGCAGAGCTCTACATACAATTTTACGAAGAATGGCCTGCATGTGTATCGAGTTGCAGAGAAAGCAAACGACGAGTTTAACGGAACAAAAGAAGCGGATTGTGCTCATACATCTCCAGGACACGAAAAAGCATGGTTTCAAGTCGAATTGGACGCGCTCTATAGCTTAAAATGGATCACAATTACATACCGAGATGAATGTATGAGTTGATTACATTGTTTATAACCAAAAAAAACAAATATTGCAAGACACTTCATAATAAGAATTAGTGACGTGTATATGTAAACAATCTTGTTACAGAAAAACAGTCATTTTACCTTTTTAAAATAATAATTAAATTCATCTGCATGATCGAAGAAAATGTATGATTAAATGATTTTAAAAAAAATATTTTCAAAATACACATTATTTATTTTTTATCTACTTTTGCAAGATTTGTTTTATAATGATCTGATTCTTGTTCAATTTATCTTGTCTTTAGTTGAGATAAGAAAATAATGAATGACATGATATTAATAAATTTTTTTTATATACACTAGCTTATATACACTAGCTTCTGAATTTTAAGATGTTTTGATGATGAAATTACCTTTATTTGCGCTAGTAAAATGATAAGAAATTATAATTTTAGGGCCAGATACATGGAGACCTTATAGATTCCGGAATTTTTATCTAGATGTTGCAAACATATCTGCAGCAAACTCATTACATGGAACTACAGACAGATATCAATGTCATCAGGATAAAACTCCAAGTAATGAAATACCTCCAACGGTCGTTGACATTCCATGCAATCAGGTGGCAAAGTATGTAATCGTGGAAACCATTTATGATTATCCTAATGATACAGAAATTGGAGCTATTTTGGAAATATGTGAAATTGAAGTTTACGGTAAGAAGATTTATTATACGTTGGAGCTAAACTGAATAGCGTAACAACAATTTGTGGAGGATGTTTATTCGCAAAGTGCATTTTTCGGGTTATTTTAAAATAAAATAAATTTTAGTCCTATAAAACTCAATCTTTCATTTCAGGATGTCCACTTCATCATTTTGGTCCTGATTGTCGATCATGTGGGAACTGCAAATTCTGCAATATTGAACTTGGATGTTGTAAGTTTTCAACTTTTTAACACCAGAATGCCTTATCTTGAAACATTTTTTTTTTACCTCAAGATATCGAAATCAGGGAATATTCTCATAACGTGTGCTTAGTAGCACATACGTAGACTGCAGAGAAATACTGAATGTGTATTATCATACTGAGTTACATGTATGTATTTCAATAGTCCTGTTGAATGTGTAGATACTGCAGGATCTACATGAACAACATTAATTTTTTTTTCAATAATGATTTCACGTATTTTATTTTACTTTTATTCTCATAGAATAGATTTATCCCTAATCATTGTTTCACACAATAGTTTGTCCAAATGGATATTATGGTTCACCTTCCTCCTGCATTCAATGCAGTAAAAATTGCCTCGGCAACACATGTAATGGGAACGACGGTTCATGTGACCAAGGATGCAAAAAGGGGTTTTATGGGAAAATGTGTGGTATAAAATGCAATACAAATTGTCTTGATGCAACTTGCCGTCAAAATGGAAGCTGTATCAGTGGATGCAAAAATGGTTTTTATGGAACATTTTGTAATATATCGTGCAGTCCTCATTGCGTTAATAAACAGTGTCTTTACGGTACTGGAGATTGTGATGATCAAGGGTGTGAAGTAGGGTATTACGGAGAAAAATGTAATAGGACCTGCTTTAATTGTTTTGGAAAGTCCTGTTCTCGTGAAGATGGAGGCTGCAACGATGGTTGTATTGTTAAGTTCTATGGCAATGATTGTACCCAACCTTGTCCTCCGAACTGTAAAAATCACATTTGTGATAAAGACAGAGGGATCTGCACAGAAGGATGTCAGAGCGGGTATTTTGGAAATAAATGTGAGATGCCCTGCCTAATATCAGCTTACTGTTCAAGCAACACTTGTCATCAACTGAACGGGACGTGTGAGAAGGAATGTGTTGCTAGATGGAAAGGGCCATACTGTAATGGTAAAGTTTTTATTTTTTTATCTTCGAAATATGTTTTACGTATTTGTTATAATGACAAAAAATTATCGAGTAAGTAATATCAAATAATGTATATGTTTAATATATTTTTAACTAGATATCCATCCTTTTATTATCTTCCAACAGAAAATCTTAACTTTTTCACAACATCATTTAAAATTTCATTAATCTAATTAATTTTGCTTTAAAAATGAAACATTTTTTCCCATTTATGGCGAACTACATGTGATATAAGAGGTTGTTGTACTTGAATAAGCTTAAATGTATGTTTAGTAAATGTTTACTGCTTATGGACATTAGTTCGTTTGCAAACATTTAAAAAGTGAACTTTGATATAACCTCTCTAATAATATAAACGGACCAAAGTATGGACATTCGCGGCTAGGATAAGGCTGTCCGTAAAATATCAAACCAATCAAACTGTACTAACTTCCCTGAACTTCCAAGATATGACGTCATAATAGAATATGACGTCAAGTCCCTGCATACTTGAGCTTACATGACAGGGAAAGTATCATAATTTTTACATGGCATGTTGATTTTTTGGGGCGTTGTTGTTTAATTTAAGTATTGGGATTGTATTTTAAGCTCCAGTCTGCTGTTTTGATGTTGAACAATTGTAAATTAGATATCCCTGTTCCTTTCGCTTGTACGATATGACAAATTTAAATAATAGCTAAAATTATATGTGAAACGTTCCCCTTACACGTCTGTGGACGGAGTTAGATTTTACGAATCGTGTTTACATTCGACTGGCACAAGTGATAAACAAGGATAAATTGAAGATATTCGGTGTGAATCTACAAGAGAAATTAGTCCTCTAACTGAATTTTGCTGGGGGATTGTGTGTAGTTTATCCAGTTTTGTTAAACCGCGATAAAGAATGGAAAATACCCCTTATTATGTTGGTAAGTTTAATTTCTCGTAAAATATTTTCTTACTAAAAAAAATTAAACCTGCCCCCAGCACTTTCTATGTACCAGAGATCACGATGAATTGATCTATGCAACAAAATTTGCACAATAAATTAATTTGTTTTGCACTTCTGCCGAAGAGATTTTTGTGTAACATTTAAGAATATCTTAAATGTCAGTCACGTGATCAACAGAGTCATGTGACATCACAAAAATGCTATATTATAATACCTGATTAAACTATTATCTTAAGTTCACTGCAGTTTCAATCAAGGATTACACATTGAAATTAAAATCTAGGTTTTAAAAAATGTATATTTTTTAGGCATTTTAAGCCTTCGGGCAGCCTTATCATAACTGCGTTAAAAGACTTTCGAAGAATAACATAACTTTAAACCCAGCAAATAAATTCAGATACTAGTAATAATTTTATTTTAAATCTCAAATTTATTAATCCCTTATTCATTGTTAGCTATTGGTGGAAAATGAGTGATTGATTGGTCGTATATTCTTTAACGTGGTGGAAAATGTGAAACAAGTCTGAATATTGAAATTAATGTGTCTGGTGCAAACTATATTAAACTTATTTAGATTCTGTTGAAACAAGCATCACAATTTAATTTTTTCACACTGAAAATATACATCCTGTAAAATCTAGATATTTTATCTTTCACTATAAAATGAAAAAGAATAATCTACAGAATAAAAATGATTAAAAAACTCTTATTATTAAACACACACATACGTATACTTAAAAGTCTCTGAGAAGTCAGATGTTGACCCGTTAAAAGAAGAGGATTCTACTACAATTATGATTGGTGCAGGAGTTGGTAGTGTTGTGGTCGTTGCTCTTATTGTAATCATCGTCGTAGTGATGTTTAGGTAATGAGGCATTGCATAAATAAATCAAATTTCAGGCATTTTTTTATTCAGAAGTTTTAATGTTTATCTGAAAATCTGAAGAATTTCTTTCTTATTGTAATAAGGGTTCGACGAACTAAAGAAGAAAATCATCATCAAAACGTTGCATACAGACAAGGCAATAATGGTATGACAATTTTACTTCAGATTTCTACATATAAAAATGTATATGCAATATCATATTAGTGTCTGACCTCCACAGCATCATAAAACACAAAGAAGCCAATGAAAATGAAGGATTTATCAAAGAATTCAAGGTTCTCTTTTTTCCTTCTGAAAAGGGGGGGGGGTATTCATTTTGATCTATCTGTTATTTTGTCTTGCTATCCGTCTGTAGTTCTGTTTGTCTGTTTCAAAGCAATATCTCGAGAAGTTTATGACTTTTTGCAATGAAGTTTACACAGAATCATCTATAGCCTAATGATAAGGAAGACCCCTATTTATTCTGAGGTCAAAAGGTCAAAGGTCAAGGTCGTTTTTTAAAACATTCTGTGAGTTTTCAAAACTTTCATTTACACAAGATATTTCATTATGCTTTTGGGTTTTTTAAATCAAATTTTATATCATAGCTCAGTATGGCCCTCCCACCCTTGTTAAAGTATCCCTTCAACCACTCTACCCCCTGGTCAAAACATTTTCTTTCTTCTTTTAGCGGTAATGCAGATTCTCTTAAATAGCTTTTTGCTTACATAAATACACAAAATACATAAAAAGAAAACATATTTTCTGCATTTTATGAACAAGTGTTGCAATTTAACCTGTCTTTAGATGCTCAAGCAATGTACATGTGTATTTCACTAAAATGATTTATAGTTTTGTTCATGGAGTTGTTATAAATGAAGCATCTTTTATACAGACGCTTCCGTACGGAGAAAGGTTTGATTGCCACACGGCCAAACTGGCGGAGAATATGCCGAAGAACAGGTTTAAAACAACTTTTCCATGTGAGTTTTTTTTTAATGATAGGAATATACTTTAAATCTTACAGGGTGCACACACTTATGAATTGAATGCATTTTATGTATAAAAAAAAGTCTAAAGGACTAGACAAAAGATCAGTAATTAAGATATGTCCGAATATTTAAAACGCCATGAGACTTTTAAAAAAGGAAATCGTAAGAAGTATTGATGCTTGAATTGTGTTTGCATTTTATACGCACAGGAATTGTTTCTTTGTTGTTGTTTTGTTTTCTTTCTTAAATCTAATTCATAAAACATTCAATAAAATAAATTTATAAATTGCTTTTGAATTCATTTTTTTATTCAGATGATCACTCAAGGGTTGTTTTGGAAACAAGTGACGACTTTTCATCAGACTACATCAATGCGAACTATATTGGGGTATAAAGCCGATGTATTAAGCATGTCATGTGAGTTTAAATCATATAGTTTGTGAAAAATATAATATATTTTTCCTTTGTAGAACTCTGAAGGTCACCGTGAATATATCGCATGCCAAGGTAAACACTATTTTTAATGAGGATAAATGTAAAATTTCGTAGCAAACAAGCAGTATTATTTTCGACAAAACAAAATGATTTAACTTTTCATTTTTAACATGAATAAAATGAAAGGAAAAAAATTAAAATTGCTGTGGACATAGGGTATACATAGACCAACGATTATACCACTTTTTGGTTGAAAATTAACTCTGTACATGTATTTTATAATTCTTTTTAACCATTTCAGGCCCTCGTGTCAACACTGTTGTTGATCACTGGAGAATGATCTGGCAGGAAAACATTGAGTATATCGTGATGCTTACAAATCTTATAGAAGGACCAAAGGTTTGTTTTAAAATTTGCAAGAATCATTTTTATTTCCCTATATTTATCTTAACTCTTTTTACGTTAAGTTGCTATACATCAGTCTGTGTGTCGATAAGTCGGTAATACCGTTTAGATTTTAATGTGGATATTGTAAAGTAGTATGAGTTTTATGTGGCACCTCGTTTTTTTTTTTTTTTTTTTGTTTGTTTGTTTATTACAAAAAGCAAGTCCAAATTTTCAAGTATATATAAAATTTTCTGATTATCTCCTGAAAAAAGAATGATTTAAATTTTGAACTTACCCAGACAGATTTAAAGTTTATCTTTTTTGGGGGGTACCATATTTCTGAATGATATGAAATGATTTGATGATATGATGTAATAATCATATAAGGATAAGCGTTTTCTATGTAAGATTGTCATTTTATTTATTTATTGTATATTCATAATATGAAACTAAACTGAGAAAAAAAAAGAAAGTTAATAAATTAAACTGAACTATGTTTCAAATATTATTCAAAAGTCATTGTAAAAATCATTTCCAATTTAATCAGAATATTGAATACCAGACATTAATTCAAACCTTTTTTTGTATCTTTTAAAAATTCATATTCTTTTCAATATTATTTTCCTGGTGGTTTGTCTTATTACATGATCTCAATGTAGTTATGAATTCAACAATGACCAAAACGTATATATAGTGAAATGTAATAGAATAAAGGGCATTATATAATATTTAAGACATCTAAGTCAACAAAACACTGTGAGAAAAGAAATGATCTAATTTATGCTGTGTGGCGTCTATAGTTGATAACTTTATGTATAATTTTGTTTTCCATGAAATAGACCCAAAAGTTAAGATATTCAAATATACATGGACATTCTTTTTATAGGTAAAATGCCACCAGTACTGGCCAGATGAAAACAAAGAACTTGATGTTAATCCATTTTCTGTAACTCTTGTTGAGGAAAAAGTTTACGCATATTTTGTGATTAGAAGAATGTCATTGCGAAAAAAGAGAGTATGTATCATATTATTATTACTCAATATTTTGTTAATCTGACATTTGTGTAAAAATTATAGAAAACTTGTAACTTTAAGATATCCTCATCAAAGGTAAATGTACAAATTAAATATAGGAGACAAACTTTTAAAACAAATTTCTAACAAAGAACATCGGTAGGTCTAGGGATCTGCATGATAATCTTAGAATTTCATGTCAAGATAATAATATGTCAAGATTATTTAGGTCACAGGGTCAAGGACGGTCGTACAGTTTCACTACACAAGATGGCCGGATCACGGAACCCCTAACCCATTAGATCTGGTTGTTTTCCACAGACAGTTCCGACATAAAATAAAACCTTCAAACCACCCTATTCTTGTACACTGCAGGTATAATATAAGTTTTCAAATCAAATAATGTTTTAACTGTAGCAATTTTCATGTTGGCATCATTTTGTTTCTGTTTGAATGATTGATTGAATGTATGCTGTTTAACGTCCCTCTCCAGAATATTTCACTGACATAGAGACGTCACCATTGCCGATGAAGGGCTGCAAATTTAGGCCTATGCTCGTCACTTACGGCCTTTGAGCAGGTAGAGATCTTTTTCATGCCACAGCTGCTCTGACACGGGGCCTATATACCTATCATTTATATTTAGTCGCCTTTTACGACAAGCAAGGGGGTCCGCGGAAAATGTGTAACTCGTACACCACGGGGCTTTTGTTTCTGATAAATTGTGACCAATGGATTAAAAATTGATTTTTAAAATTTTTTTTGAAGAAAAATACTTTCAAGAGAGGTGAAGGTTGGGTTTGTTTTCAAAGTCTGTGAGGAAATATGTCATTTTTAATTATTTCAGTGCGGGGATTGGTAGGACAGGTACATTTATAGCTCTGGACGTGTTGTCAAGATATGGTGAGAAGAAAGGAAAAATCAACGTTGTGGAGTTCGTTAAAGCTATGCGAAAAGACCGAATGACAATGATTCAAAATGCAGTGAGTAGTTCATCTGCAAAACAATAATCAACAAGTGTTTGGAAAATTTAAATTTCTTAGTTATTTATATTCCAATTTCAGTATGTCATAATGATGATACTCTCCTGAAAAAGCACAAATACATGTACATATTTTCATATGATAATTGTAATTAGAACATGCATAACAATATGTAATAATCATGAGACTTAGCAATATCATGATTGTAGGAACAATATGCCTTCCTTTATCATGCCTTGTACGAGTTCTTCCGTCGAAAAGGGAAATTTGTAGGAGAAGGTGATTTCGTTCAGCTATATGGAGATATGGAAAAACAGGAAACAAGAAAACGATTTACAGATGAGTTCAATGTACGAATTTTATATAAAAATGAAAATAATTTTAACCGATTGTTAAATTTGATAATTTTCCCATTTCTATAACTCTTCTATAATAATTTTTAATCAAATCTGAGAAAATCTTAACTGCAGATTGGCCTTTAGCATCTTCTATTTTATATTTCAAAAAGACATATAAATGTACTTATATTTATGAATATAATTTATGTTAACCATGTCGTCCACATCCCAACTTTTCCTGAACTACATTTTAGTATTTAAAGAGATTTTCCCTGAATTTGGATTGCGTAGTTTTGCAATTAATTTTTAGCGATCTCGGCACCCTCGCTAATAATGCCAAAATTAAATCCTCGCTAAAAATTCTACTTATACGGTATATATATATATATATATATATATATATATATATATATATATATATATATATATATATATATATATATATATATTTATTTTTTGTAACCACTAAGATTATTACAAACATTTTAATTTCTCTTTAAGAGATATTATCATTTTATTGAGGAAACTTTTTCAAGAAATTTTATTAAGAGCAAAATAACTTTTACGAAATTTCATTACATATTACAATAAATTGTCAATGCAATGAAATACAAACAAGCGTACAATGTAGGAACTTGTTTGGTAATACTTAGTCTATTTTTTTTTATCAGAAAAGTGCTCATTTATGTTTTTTTCCATATTAGACTCAGAAAGTAACCCCCCCCCCCAAAAAAAAAAAACAATACCGTAAGACTTATCGGATACCGTTGAACATTTCAATTGACGGGCTTAACACCATTTGATTGTAAAACAATCAACATGAAACATAGTTATACTGTATTTTTCAGGAACTGACACTTTTGAGACCAAATTACAATGAGAATGATTTTAAAACAGGCAAGAAAAATCAAAACCTGAACATAGTGAAGGCAGTTTTACCAGGTTTGAATTTTTTTCGGGGGTCGGAGGGGGTATTGTGGAGTTGGGTGTTAAGAGATGAAAATGTTTTGTTTTTTTTAACATTAACTATTCAATACACGCATTTTATAATATGCAGTATGCCATCAAAATTATAACAAAATATATATATTTGAAAAAGAAAATAAAAAAAATTCTTCAAGACAAGAAATATTTTGGAAATAAATTTTCTGAATATTTATGTCTTGCAGTTGAGCAATATCTTGTGTATTTGACTTCCCATATTCATGGACGAGAACCTTACTATAATGCAGTATCTCTATCAGTACGTATTTTTGTGATATACCAGGTACTTATATTTACTCTGTACATGCACATTTTTTTCATAATTTGTAGACATTTTTCTCAACAATTATTTTTTTAAAAGAAATTTGTGATTTCTCACTTTTTTTACCTGTTTACACAAGTCTAAAAACTTTACAGATGTCATTTAATTGAAAGTAAAAATTCAATTTGTCTATTTTCATTTTTTTAAAATTAAAAACAAGTCCTTTAGTCGAGCCGAGGAGTTTATTTCTGCGCAACATCCGGTATCTGGTGCTGCAATTGATCTTGTTAGACTCTTGCTCGATCAGGAATCAGCGTTCCTGATTTCATTAAATCCTTTAGCTGATATTGATGAGGTAATTCAGAAAGTTTTTTTTTTTCAAGAATTTTATGCATCTTATACTGTAAAAATTGAAAAAAATGAAAATAATATTCATTGCATAAGGTATCTAATAAACAAAATTTTTACATATAAGAATTATTTCCATGATTATTTTGCCTTCTAAGCTTAAAGACTGGGTGTCAGCAGATATCAAAACTTTAAAACTAAATCCATATGATATCGCAAAGATTGAGCAGAGAACAATTTCTAAAGAAATGCGAAAAACTACCGTGCAGATTCAAAGACAAGAGGTATATATCTTTACTACATATCTCCATAACCAGTTTAATCGCTTACATATCCATTGGAATGTTTAAAGTAAAGTGAACATGTATATTAACACTAATAATTAATAGAATAGATTGCATTTTTATTTGTTCATTTTCAGAAAAACTCAAAGACCCATAAACTGCAAATCTTTGAATGTCTCAACTGGAAGACCACTGACAAATTTCCACCTCAACCGTCCATATTGACAGATTTAATCAAACAATTCAGCCTTGATCGTAAATCTGACACTGGTGGACCAATAACCGTCATATCGAAGTAAGAATCATGTTTGATACTAATTCACCTCATAACGCATATAAAAAATGATGGCAAACAAAATATCATTTTTCCCTTCCACTACCCTTTTAAGTTTCTGTATTCAACAAACATACAAATCAAACATTTTCACAGCATTAATTTTATTCATATTGCTTATGACAAATAAAACTTCTCTATTAAGTAATTTTATGGAGAGTTCTCAAGCTTAAAGTACAAATCAGTAGCAGAGAAAACGCGGACCTTGTAACAATCAGAGGTGGGTTCAGGTACCATGGAGAAGAAAGTATCCCATACAGACCGGTCTCACCAACCATGCTCATTTTGTTATGATAAGGAACAAACGAAAAAAAAATCCTCAGACAATTCAGTGCATATAATGGAAAATAGGTTTGAAAAAGAAGAAAACTTCAAGTCAGTAGTCTCTTTGATTGGTTTTATTATCCGACAAGGTAATCGTATCGACCAGAAAACTTGCAAAATGTTGACTTCAAACAAAACGGTTGACATCCATGTTTCATCACCTTCTTCGTTGACATTAATGTTTCTTCAACTTGCTTGTCTTTTTTCAAGCAATGGCCATACATATAGTATGTCCTGCGTATCGAATCAATTTAGAGACATAAATCCTACATGTGACAATAGAATACTGCATAAATAAGGGTAGCTCTTGAAACATTGAAGTCATCACCTTTATCATAAAGATGAATTGTTAGGTTACCATTAATGTCTTTTCTAGTACAGTATCCAAATGAAACGGAAGCGTCAGACTCTTGGATATCTTTATTTTCAAGCTCACTGGAATAAATCTAGTTGACATATGAAAAGAAGTATCTATTGTTTATTTAAAAATGAAGGCTACACCAAATGTGTAACTAATCTCAGATACAAGTTTGTCAATAAATCCTTCTCCATATGATTTATATAGCAATATTTGTTCATTCTTTTATTTTCTTTTTTTTTCAAAAAAGAGATGGCGCCACTTGTTGTGGTGTTTTCATTGCTGTATATAACGCAATAGAACAACTAAAGATGGACGGTGAAGTTGACATTCCTTCCATCGTGCAACAGCTGCAGATACGGAGACCGGAAATGATATCAACAAAGGTTACGACCTTGATTTGTTCAGCCAATCTTCTCTTATATGGATCGTGTTTATTGCGAAGTCTTTTTTAATTCTATATAAACATAAAACCCCATGCAGTGAAATTGATTCTTTAAAATCTGTCTCATCTGTACCTGGTCTCATCTGTACCTTTATCTAATCCGGTAATTTACCTTAGAAACAGTGATGTTTTGGTTATAAAAATTGTACTGTATCATTTGAAATTCATGGTTTCAAGACAATATTCACTAATTTATCTTAAAAATGCGTCATTTCAATTCGATTATCATTAAACTATATACAGAAGCAAAGCTTAAATAAATAAATAAACAATTGAGAGTGTAAAGTGTTTATAAACAGCTCTTAGAAAAAAAATGTAAGGAAGAAATTTTTGCATACATATTTTTTAAAAAATCAAAACAAATTTATCACAAGCGACCAATTAAGTACGTGTATTTCTTCTTTCAGGAAGAGTATGAGTTCTGTTTCAAAGCTGTATGTGATTATCTGAATATGGACAGTGTGTACGCAAATACCTAAAACTCGCAAATACTCATCTATTGTGAAATGCCAAGTCGACTTACTTAGAATACATGTACCTGGTATAGTTGTTTCCTTGAAATGTAGACATAATTATGATAATTGTAAATAAGTATTTCTTACTCAGTTAAAACTAAGGCTTATATAACAATTTTCATGTCGCATAAATTTATTATTTGTTTATTTTTTCTACTTTCCCACTTGAGAGGCGTGGAAGGGTTAAGCAAAAATGGTTATTTCCCACCAAACCTTCTGTTCAATTGAAGGAACTTGCGTGTATATATTTTCTGTTTCTTCTACAGAGAGTGAAAATTTAGTGATAATTTCACAGAATCATTTAGACATCGTTTTATTGTGAACTTTTTTTTATATTTCGATGCAGGAACAGTTATATGGGGTATCCGAGTTAATTCTGGGTATAGCTTTACTTTGTAAAGTATGTCGGTATCCGTCTTGTCTTTCTCCATTAAATAAAATTTAAATCACAAAAGCTCTTTATTTAAAACTATTTTGTAGCTTTTGCTTATATGTTCGTTGAACAAATTTTTTGGGCTTTCCATAGAAAAACACATATGGATGTGTCGTCAACCCTAATATCCGTTATCTTTTATCTTTAATATTACTCTTTCTATGCCCCAACTAGAATTTAATGGGATTTTCAAAGAATTTTTGTGAAACATATATCAATCAGAAAAGACAAAGCGTTTGACCTAACAAAACATAATTACCGCCATTGTTTTACAATACTGTTGGTTTACCGGATTGTCGCAATGGTTCATGTAAAAACATCTGCTCTAGTGCCGCACGGATAGTAATTAATCCGTACTTCGTTTGTTCGGATCCCACTATAGGACATTAATACTTGTCCTTTGGATGATACCTTATAATCCAAGATTCAGAGTAGCTGAAGGTGATTTCAAGAGAAAGATCCCTTACCGCTCCGTAACTCTGAGCGCCGAGTATATGTCAAACTTCCAGTTCTCCACCTTCCAGTGATGGCGTCTCCATAAAAGTGAATAGATCTCGAAAAGGACGTTAAACAACAAACAAATCATTATAAGCGTCCATTTTCTACTAATATCTCCTTTTACACTATTGATACTGAGTTACAAATAATGTGACTTTCACAGAATCTTTATCATATTATGTCAATATGCACCTTCTTATTTACAGTCTGTTTAAACAGATATTTCCATTTTTACATATAAAAAAAACTTACACTTGGCATATACTCAAATAAAGCAGAAATCATTTGATAGTTAATCTCTGGTTTTATTATTTTTCTTTTGTTATTTGCTTTTTGAATACATGTACATTTAGATGTATTTCATGACAGCTTGTTAGATCAATGTAGGAAAATATTGATGTCACATTTCATGTAATTCAAAAGAGTCAATAAAATATACTGTATTTGAGTATGTTCATGTTACATCAAGCACAAATCGTTTGAACATTTACAAAATAAGAGAATGGGTACTTAAGCTCTAAACAGCTTTTCAAAAGAAACGCCTTTTTTCTTCCAATCAATGTCAAACATTACTTGTTTAAAATAATTGATACATCAGCTCTCCGAAATATTTATGCTTCTTCACAAAATTGTCATCATCAATGTGCACGCGTTTTTTATCACTTTTTCCATGCGGCGCCTTAAATTTCATGGTTTAGTAGTTTTGACCAGCGATATTAGTGCAAAGTCATCAAAATACACATCTTACCAGTTTTAATAATTTACGGCCACATAGCCCAGTTATTCATACAATATGTGGTAATATTAACAAAAACAAAAACATATATTTATTTCTTCATTTTAATTTTAAACAGCCAATTTTATGTTAACGCCCCCAAAATCTACCTGGTTCAAGATCAATCATTTACCGCCTGTCAATCATTAAAAAAACAATAGCTCCTGATTTGATTGACAGGCCAGGTACCCGTGCTACCTGATAGTCTGAGTTTGTGTGTTTTGAAAACGATTGCCTGGTCACGCGTCAAACACTTTCATGTAGCCGCCTTGTATACACGGGGGTCAAAAAAAACTTGGTAAAATTTTATTTCAAAAACAATTGAGAGTAGAAAATTAAAACATGACTTCATAAAATATTTGCTTTCAATCTCAACAGCTATTTTGTATTTTAGGCGATAAATGTCGTCCAATTCTGCTGTGGAATTTAGACCGGTCCGTGCACAGAAGCGCTATTTGCCGATTAAAATTGGAATATGATAAATAAGAAAAGATATTTATTGCACAAACGGCATGGAGAAAAAATTTCATGTTCTGAAATGTCAGAAACATGAGTTTCGAGATTGTAACTTTTAGTTCGAATTTCCTAACGTCTGTCAATACCCAATATTCGAAATTAAAAAGTGAATATATAAAGTATAAGATCAATTCTTAAAAGTATAAAAGAAATCTTGCAAACAATAAAAAAAAATTTAAACATGCGAACATCCGGAAATGGTGAATATTTTCGACACTATTGTTGGTCAGACGTAGGCAATTCCTATCGCGGTTCATTGTTTATGTTCACACGACGGATAGACCTATAAACGGAATTTTTATTTTTTAATTTTGATATTTACACAAGTTTAATTAAAAATACCCTGTAGTTTTACTCTGTGTTCTTATCTTTAATTTTACTTTCTTTTTTTTTATATTAAGGTAGTCCGATCCTCAGGTTTATAAAATAAGCAGCTATGTAATCAAAAATACTCATAAAAGTATCCCTGAATCCACAAAGGTATAAAAATTTATTCACAGTATTTCTTGAAAGTTAAAAATTAATGTTAATCATATTTTATAGGAAAAATTATCAAATCTCCAATATTTTTGCAGAGAAAGCGAATAGGAATATAAGCAATGCATTTTCTTATTGCAAATTGATCAACAAATATATTTTAGGTTAAAAATCAATAGGTATCAAGGCAACAGAGAAATTGTCATGATTTTTTTCACTTAATGGTATTTTTGTCCTCTATTTCCTTCATGTATTCTCTAATACATAGTGTAAAAGGCTTTTGCTAGCATTGCAAGACACCACAAATCACTTCTTATTTCATATCTTGCTAATAAGCATTGGTATCTAAGGCTGGATAAAAGAAAACATTTTTCTAGAACTGTATTATTTTTTCCTTGTACAGGGTACAAATGTCAACTTTTATCAGACCCTTTCTAAGACTTCCAAAAACCTTGAATCTTATTAAGATGAATAAAATGAAAATTATTGCATGAAAAAAATCATTTTTTAACCTTCGTTTTGATGTATTTTAAATTAAATATGAGTTTTTTGAGTTATCCTTCCTGGCTGAGGATCGGACATCCTTAAAACGATATTTCTTTATAATTTTATTTTCTTCATTAGATATCGCTGAAAGTATAAATAAATAAATTTTATATTGAAATATTTCAATTATTTCAAATAGTTTCATTCAAATTAAGACACTAAACACGGAATGTTCACCCTGATCACCAGACACAGACTTCCTGTGTAATGCTACGTGTATATAGATTTTTGACATCTTGAGTATTGGGGGTCTCCAGGTAAATAACATTAGTACTACTAAGACCACTCCCCCTTCTCAGGTAACCGTACGGTAAAAAAATTGGGTCTTTAAGTAGCTGTCCTTTTTCCTTATGTACAATCAGATGAATATGCTTAAGCCCAAAAATCAAAGGCGGACGAAAAGGAAAGTATGAGGGAGATTTGTTACAGATATATGCAGGCACAGGAAGCGGAGTTCATTGCTACTTTATTTGAACTAATTTGGTTTTTTTCCTGCTTCCGTTTTCATTAATAGCATGAACTTTAAATTATGGTGTTTTGCGTATATTTTTAGAATTTAATTTTTTATTTTGTTGAGCGTAAATTTTACAATATGCGACAAAAAATCTGAATTGCCGAATCTACTTGTTGCTAGAAGTATTTTTTTTCTGATTCATTTGTGAAAATGACGTTGAATTCTTGGATGTATTGGGTGTATTTGTTGCACATTGTAAACATCATCAGAGGGCATGGTAAGTATTTAAAATTAAAACATTTTTGTTATGTAATCCTTTGTGCTTTAGATCATTATATAGTTTAAAAAAAATTGGATATTTAAAATCTTTAAAGTCACCTGTAACCGTACATAAAGTTAACAAAACTCTCAATTCTTAACTCAATCGACAGCTTTTTGTCAACTTAATGTATAATTACATGTAACTTAAGAACAGTATTTAAATGTTGAAAAAGATAGATAAAATGCAAAATTTTTTCTGAAATTCAACAGTTATAAAAACAGGCAAATGACTTTTTAAAAATTTTATATACACAAATATCCATAAATATCAATCATTCATATATGAAACGTTCAACAGTATATCATAGAACACCCACGATGACTTTAACTTTTCTATCCTGAACTTCCCTTACTTATGCAGCAATATACCTTCATCACCTGCATACGGAGTATATATCTCAGTTGATTCGATACGCAAGATCATGCTCTACGTATGAATAATTTCTAAAACGAGGTAAATTATTGACAAACAAGTTGATGAAACAAGAATATCAGCAGTTTCGTTTAAAGTCATCATTTCGTAAGTTCAATGGTCGATACAATGACCTTGTCAGCAAATACAATTTATCACTGAGTCAAGTGCTGACTGACTTTTTTCATACCAATTTTTAGTCCATTATTTATACACTGAATTGACGACGGATTTTTTCCGTTATTTCCTGATCATGACAATGAGCACACAGCCCCCTTTTCTCTGTAATTAGCTGTTCCCAAATCTCAGCTTCATACAAGCGGGTCGCTGCTGTTGTTCTAAAAAAAATGTTTCGTAAAGCGTCCCTTAAATCCTATCTGTTCACAAAATTTTGCGATATTTTTTGTAAAACTTGAACACTAACTTCAGAATCAGCATATCTACAGGCTTTTGCTTGTGCTTACCTACATGTACTTTGGAATATTATCCACCCTTTGGCCTGTATTTAAAATATGTATTTCTTACTCAATCTGATGAGAACATCTTAATTCAGGAAGCTTTACATGGTCATTAATCAAGTGAGCTATCATTTAAATCTAACTTTACCTGACACTGTCCATTAAGTTAAACAATACAGCTATTGTTTCCATCCCGCACTTTCTGGACAATCAAGTGTGTTACGTTATTATAGTAAATACAAAACCATCAATTAGATAAATGAATGTATGTATAAAATTGGATAATATACTAATGTATCACATTTGTTTTATGGATATTACTGGAGTGCGAATAAAACAAAGTAAATTCACAATTCCAAAAATGTTTGCTTTATCTAAGATTTTTTGTGTAAATTAATTTTATTAATTCATTTGGTTTTATAAATTATTCATAATCTATTCATTAATATAAAAAAATGGTCTTTTTGTAGATTGATTGATTGATTGAAAGTTGTTTAACGCCGAATCGGCAATTTGTCAGCCATGTTTCGGCGGTCGTAGAAACAAAATCAGAACGTTATACTCAATTTCAATTGCAAACAAAACTTATATATTCATACATCGTTTTTATTCAAAGAGCATTACGATCTATTAGTATATGCAAGTTGAATGATTTAATTTATTTTAAATATGCATGACCAGAATATAGACTAGAGAATCTTTCTCTTTTAGATCAACATTCATTCTTCGATCATTTACACTCTCTGCATGAATTTATAAAAATGGCGTTGATATTTTCTCGTCTATGGCACTTTATTTTTCTTTTTTGCTCTGCACATGATTCGTTTTGTTTCAATGAATTTTTACTAAAGATTATTGTTACCATTATCATTAATGACTGCGTTTCTAAAGGCTAGAAAAAATGTTATCAAGGACACAATAACAAGAGTTTTGTAAGAGAGAGAGAGAGAGAGAGAGAGAGAGAGAGAGAGAGAGAGAAACAATTGACTCAGTACACAATTTGAATAATATATGATTTCTTGACAGAAAACTTAAGTCGAAGAAATGCGACATCCGTGTCACAGAGTTCGGACTATAGAAATCAAACTGCTAAATATGGAATAGACGGGATCACAACACAAACGGAATATTTCTGTGCCCACACAGCTGTTAACCAATCGGAGGCTTGGTTTCAAGTTGATTTAGGAGAACCTTTTAGTCTTAAAACCATAAGGATAGTTTACAGAGATGAAGGTAATGTTATATAAAATCAATAGAATTAAAAACAAGAAAGTTTGCTTTTGCAAGCAGTAATCTGCTAGTACTACAACTTTCACTACCTCTATTTCTTCTTCTTCTTCTTCTACTTCTTCTTCTTCTTCTTCTTCGTCCATAACTACCACCACAGCCACTAGCATTACTACTACTACTTCTACAACCCTTTGGTCTGTTGTGCATCATTAATTTAAGTCGAGCATAGTCAATAACACCATGATGATATTTACATTTAAAAATGTTTTCTATGCAAAAACAAATGTTTGCATGTGACTTAAAATACTGGGAACGTGATATAAGAGATCAGTGAGAGGAAGCAAGGTCCAGACTACTTACTACAACTGCATACATTATAAAGAAGTACAATTCACAAGATTTGTTATGTGGATTTGTATGATTGTATGATTACTATGGTCGCGCATGTCACTCCAACTATGTGCAGGAAGACAGCATAGGTTGTGCGTTAAAAAAATTGACTCTTTTAAAAGTTTCTTTTACCTGGCGAAGAAATTATGAAATTTCAAGGATACGTGAGGAGTTATCTTAACTCTTAGTTTTAATTTTTGAAAAAATGTCATATTTCCGTTCTTCAGTGCCATTCGAAGTGTATGGTATTAGAAAACATCTACAGTTTCCGGGTTTGTATAAAGTATTATGAGTTTCTTTTTCGGGATATAATGATTAGGGCATGAGACATCTATTTTCGAGATTCAGTTTAGGCACTCTCAATCAGAAAGAATTGGTTTATTTAAAATTTTAATTTAACGACCATTATATATATATTTTTTTAAATTAATAGCTATGGTTGACCTATACGTATCTGGGCATGCTCATAAATGAAAAATGCTGAAGAAAGTTCAGGTTTGCGGTTTGAACCCTTTCTATAAATGATGAAATAAAATAAATTCATTACATCACTATCAGATTATTAAAATTTAATTTGTTTAAACATGGAATAAACGTAACATATATGTAGCTGAGAGAGATTCAAATATTCCCTGTAAAAATACATTTAACGTTTACTACTAAGTTAACTATACTTGTTAGATGACATTTTATATCATTTTTTCTAATGGGTTTGAAAGAGACTTCTTTTAAAAGCACATAAATTCAAAGGCTAACTTAATAAATAAATAAAATCTGTCTGTTTGAAACCGTTTTATTTCCAAACGAAACTTCTTCATTGAGATTTTAAATAGGAATTTCAGGTCGATTTAATGCTTTTATTGATTTTGATGTCAAATCCTTGCAAATAATTAGAAAAATTTACTACAGTTTCTTATAGTTATTGTAATTGTTAAACTTAATATATTTATTTCTATGGTTAACTATGAGATTAAAGAAATTTTAAAATCAAAGCTTATTACTGTTAAAATTCGACAATGATTATGTATTTCGGAAAAAAAAATATGTATATGTATGAGGGTCATGCAAAAATTCGTAGACTTTTGTCAAAACTTTTTTTATTTAATGTCATATTGCAACAAAATTTGGGACACACATTTTAACAACAGATTCAAATGATTTGAGTAAAAAATTGGATTATGTCTCGATATTTATAAAAAGTATCAGATATTTAAGATGGCAAAAATGGGATAACTGAGCAGGATCAAACTTGGGTTATTTACTAATTATAAACTTTATAAGGTATATAGCAATACTTTAAATACATGTGATTTGCGCTTAAATTAAATAAAATTCAAATCTTTATATTTATCACTGATCTATTTCATCAGAATCTAAAAGGTAGCTATATGCATTTAAAAGATATCAGTTTCTAAAGATTGACTTGATTAAAAAGAGTCAAAAACAATGATGTCATGGGGTAGCGAGTTACAAAAAAAAATGTTTTGTTTTCGGGAAACCTCTACATATACCTTTTGAAAAAATGAGCCGTGGTGGATATTTTAAATCAGACGGGGACGGTCTCCGGAAAAAAAGGATTATAATTTAAAGTCTTATCAAAAGAGTTAGTGACGTCATGAAATGTGATGTGCACGTCAATGTTGCGGAACTACAGAAAGCAGGAATAAGCTGGAAAGAATTTGAAAACATTGATAAATATTAACATTACATATGTTTTTTGCATATAAAGTGAAATCTATTGCATTCAAAACACAATAGCACAGACAGGGTGCCAAGAGGTAAAAGCATGTGTTTTAGTTTAACTTCATAATCGTTGAACGCCGAGGAAGTGCAACGTCACAAGCGAAAATCGAAAAATAACGCTCAAATTGACAAGAAGCTGTTACATTGGCTGATCCATTCACTGAAGCTAACACGAACGATAATACATATGTATTTAAATAGAAATCACATTTTTTGCAGTTAAGGTAGAAAGTTCAAAAATGTAAATATAAGCAATGAATGAATCATTATTTTTTGAAAGATATAGTCTCATAACTGCAACGGTGTGTGCAAACAAATTGAATAACGCGCGTTAGCTTAATTAATCTTACGCTACGCAACAAGTATTAGCAAACTAGATGTCAATTTTATAGATATGATTTAATAAATGGAGCAGTCGCCTCAAACCATGTATAAAATGAAAAGAAGAGTAATTTTGAAAAAACTTTCTTGACATTGTTTTTTTTGACGTTACAATGTTGCTAACCTTGCTCCGTTGTCACAATACAGGTTGCTTTTAAATTTTTTTATGCCCCCATAAACGAAGTTTCGGGGTTATGTAGTTTTTGTGGTGTCTGTCTGTCTGTCTCTCTGTTTGTCTGTTTGTCCGCAAAAACTTTAACCTTGCCCATAACTTTTGATTTAGTTGAGCTATGACTTTCATATTTCATATGTGTATTTCTTGTGGCAAGACCTTTCTTTGGGTATCACCAAATTTGACCTTTTGACCTTGACCTTGGAGTTTGATCCACTTTTAAATGAAAATTTTAAACTTTTACTTTGGCCATATCTTTTGAACAGTAGACACAAGGACATTCATACTTCACATATGTAATCTTTGTTGAACGATTCTTCATCAGATACCAACAATCTTGACCCTTTGACCTTGAGTTTGTAGATTTCCGTACTTGTGGAAAAATATTTAACCTTGGCCATACCTTTTGAACGGTAAGGGATAGGGATAGGGCTTTCATCCTCCATATATGTAATCCTTGTGAGACGACCCTTCATTGAATACCAAGAACTTTGACCCTTTGACCTTGACCTTTGAGAATGACCTACTTAAAAAAAAACAAACCTTGACAATAACTTTTAAAGAGTTAGGGCTAGTACTTTCATACTTTACATATTTGATCCTTATGACATGACCTTTCATTTGATAACAAGAACTTTGACCCCTTTATCTTTCCTGCCCTGTGGTTTTTGAGAAGAGTATTTTCAAAAGAAGCTATTCATTATTTTCTAGTTCAATTATCTCCTCTTGGAAGAAAGGGTGGCCTTCATTTGAAGAAACTTGAATCCCCTTTACCAACGGATACTTTATTGGAATTGGCCCAGTGGTTCTTAAAAGAAAATGAAAATGTGAAAAGTTTACGATGACAACAATGTTCAACGACTAAAACGCCAATGACATACAACAAACACATTTTGATTAGAAAAGCTCACTTGAGCCTTCAGGAGTTGGCTAAGACCTCTGACCTTGGAGTTTGACCTTCTTTTAAAAAAAAAATTAACGTTGGTCATAACTTCTGAACATTTAGTGCTAGGGCTTTCATGCTCTACATAAGTATTCTATGTGGCAAGACCTTCATTTGATACTAATTACATGACCTTTTGACCTTGACCTTGGAGATTTTTGTACTTATTAAAAAACTTTAACATTGGCTTACTTTCAAATTTCACAATTGTTTTCCAGTGAGAATAACCTACTCTTGGTACCATTTAATTAAATTTGTATTTAAGAAAAGCTTAATCTTTGCTATGTTGCCATACGGGGGCATCAGTGTTTCACAAACACATCTTGTTGCAAACACAAATTTCATTTAGCCAAATAGCATTCACGTATTGACACACTAATTTTTTTTACATACATGTATGAAAATGGGTTGATCTTTAATATTCTTCTAAAAATAATATGAGGAGAAACATAGTCTGTGTATTTTTTTTTTCAATAACTCTCATACTATTTACGTACATGTATCAATTTATGTTCAAAAATGTATGATAATATTAATTGATAAACATGAATCAGAGCAATTTGAAATTCATACTAAAAATACTTCGATAAACTACAGTTAAAACTTCGATCGATATATAGCTGATTGATTCACTGTGTGTTGGTTAAGGCCCAAAATTTCAACGGTGAAAAAGTTCATTTTTGTATATGTCTATAAAATATTTCCAATTTGGTTTTATTCTTTAAACAATTAAAAAAGAAGTTGACGAACATGAAAACATTATTTATAAGAGAATGCATCTATCCTAATTCCACACCCAGAATACAAATGGCCATATTTTTTCTATATATATATATATATATATATATATATATATATATATATATATATATATATATATATATATATATATATATATATATATTTTTTTTTTACCTGCGGGTGAAAACACGACAGTACACATAGCTCTAAAATAAAAGTTTTTTTTTTCAATTTTAGGAGAAGGTTATTGGAGGCCATATCGCTTTCGATATTTTTACCTTGATTTGTCCAATTCTTCTGTAAATGGGTCAACAACCACTGATAGGAAAAGATGTTACCAGGACAATACAACGGTCCCCGATTTACCTCCAAGCATAATCAATATAACTTGTCCATTCGTTGCGAGATATGTCATTGTACAGAATGATTATTTTGGTAATGACACACATTCAACAGGACCAATTCTTGAAATCTGTGAAATCGAGATATTTGGTAAGAATGAATTATAAAGATCTTTTCTCCAATCGACATATGCATGAAGCAACAATCATGTCAAACGTTCAAATGCGCATTCATAGCATAACCATTAAAGAAATTAATACATAATAGGTTGCAGCATTAACTGCAATGGAGAATGTGAAACGACCGGATATTGTGCTGAATGCAATACAAATCTTTGGGGAGAGAACTGTATTCAATCCTGTCCTGATCATTGCAATGGAGGCATATGTAATAGAACCACGGGAAGTTGTGATTTTGGCTGCAGAAATGGAACGTGGGGTATTTTTTGTAATTTGACGTGCAGTACCAATTGTGCAGATGATGTCTGTGAGATTAAAAATGGTAGTTGTGTAAATGGCTGCAAAGGGAATTTTGATGGAGAAAAATGTGAAGGTATGTTTAAAATACATTTTCTCTGATAATGTCTTGATAGACATAAAATGTAGATAATTAATTTTATTGTTCTAAATCTATTCGTTCTAAATAAAATTTGTTTTACACTTGTGTTGCGATAATCTCGATCTGAAATGATCTATATTTTAAAAATATGTTTCAGAAATCAATTGCATGAGCAACACAACACTACATTTGAAGAAGTTTTTCTAGATACCTATACTATAACGTAATTCTCTTTTGTAATCAGTTTATCAGGCCTGTTATTTATTCATGTTAGCAGTATGTGTTATACGTCTGTGCATATAAATACGATTTTTTTTTCATTTTCTTTCTGGGACAACAGTTATGATGATTATTACCTGGGTGGATATTGTTTCTACGTCAGAAAATATTAAATAATTGTATAACATTTATCGAAATATTATAACTTAAGCTTTTTAACATAGAATGTAAAAATAAGCCTTTGTTGTACTTTTATTTCTTTCAAACATTTAAGTTTGTGATGCCTTCCATTATGGAGAAAATTGCAAAGAATCTTGTGGTCAAGGCTGCATAAATAACACTTGCTTTGCAAACAATGGCACGTGTTCATTAGGGTGTGTCGAAAACTTTGTTTACCCAAAATGCAATTCAGGTATGTGGTAAATTATTCAAGAAAGACGATATTGTCCATTTTTACATGACTTAAAATCAGTATCTGCAATAACAGTTAAAAGGAAGTAAATGATGTTTAGCTATCTAAACATTTCACAAAGTACACTTGCATTGAAAGTCAATATGAACATAGAAAATGAACAATGCATACTTTTACTTAAGGAGGGATTCTTTTCATATTTATTGTTTTTAGAAATGTTGAATTTTCAAAAATTAAGAAAAAAGAAATGTTTTTGCCTCACCTCCTTCTTACATTTACAATGTAATTTGAAATCATAATATTTCTGTTTACTAAATGATGGTACCATATAAGGTATATTATTCTTTTCCTTTTTATTTTTGTATTCTGATATTTGATTTTTTTTTAAATAAAGCATCCTGCATTCATTCACGTCTAAATATGTCAAAATGTATTTTTTTCTAATCCTAGAGTATCATTTAATGACCAAGTCACATGAAGAAACAAATAAAGCGCCATATATTGGAGTTGGCATCGGGGTATTCCTGCTTCTAATATTTGTGCTTATTGGTGCAATTGCTGTTCACAGGTTTGTGTAAAAAAATCATATGTATCAGGAACATTAACTTGCAATCATCATTACAAATTATAATAACATTTATAACGGTTTTTGGATGCACCGTTAGCTTTTATAGTTTTTCAACTTCATACCTATGTTCTTTGATGATGAAAGACGTTGACTGATGTTGGCTCATTATAAGAAACAACAAAATCACTATTTCATATCTACGAGTTGTTGCACTGTATTGTATCATTGATTTAATGGCAAAGTCAATATTCGAATTAGGATTCCTAATTACCAAGTGAACAATAGTCATTCCTAGTTTTTTTCTGCATGCTTCTTTGATATCTGATTTTCTGAAATACATGTCCAACCATTATTGATAAGATTTCCATTTGAAATAAAAAACATTGTACATTACAAAAACGACGTGAAATTAGTAATTTTTACTTCGTTTCCATACAAAAACAAGTATTGTACCTTGCTCAATCTAGCTTCATTATACGTATTAAAGGATTATTTCATCAATGTTTCGAGCTTGTCATTGAACGATATATGCTCCATTAACACGTTTTATTGGAATATTATATCAAAGAACAGCAATGAGCAAAGTATTTAGAAGAGCACATACTTAAGTCTCGGTTCGTACATGAAGAAGCATGCAGAAAACGATTTTTTAATGTGTCATTATATTTAATTCAAGGTTGAGAAGAAAAAAGCAATCGAACTCTACAATGATTGTTGATGTCAAAGTTTCAAAGAGAGATTTAAAAGGTGCAAGGTTTAATCATTGAGAAATTCTCTATATTTAAGTCTCAAATCTTATTTTTGAATTAGAAATGCAACAAAGCAACTTGCGTAAAAAGAAATGTACATGTTGACCATGACTTTCTTTTGTTTACTACAAATAAGCAAAATAAGACTAGTAAATTGATTTACTGAGCTCATACAAATGTAATTTACATAAAAACATTTTGAAAAGAATTCTAATCATGAATTTAATTGCAATAGTCATTTTATGTCAAATAAAAAATGTCTAGCTAAAGAACTGATCTTTTATTACCCTATCTAATTAAAATTAAATGTTTGATCCGCTCGTATACTCGCTACATCTAACAACATCCCATACAGGGTCACGTCAGAGGTAAAATTCGGAACAACTATAGACTCATTCGCTTCAACAATATACATGTACGTTGATTTTGCAGGCGACGATTTGAATGGTTGATAAAGTTTGACGTGACCCTCAATGGGATGTTGTTAGATGTTAGTGTAGCGAGTATACGAGCAGATCAAACATCTAATTTTCATTAGATTGTTTATTATCTATCCTTATCGTAGCACTTGGGGATCAAAAACATGAACCGGAAGTAGAAATTCCAGATGTATCTGTATTTAGGAATAATTCGTTTGTTAAGGACATTACCGTAACTGACCTATTACGTGTGATCAAAGACAACGAAGCAAGTCGGAATAAAAGTTTCATGGAGGAATTTAAGGTCATATTAGTTAAATAAATAAATAATAAAGTTTGAATAAAAAATGTTAAAAACGGGGAAATATATTTTCATTATTTCTTTAAAATCATTTTAATGAAAGAAAATTGATTTTTGTTTTTAATTTATCAGAGTCTTCCTCAAGGAGAAGCATTTAGCTGCAGAGTTGGTAGACTGCAAGAGAATAAACCCAAAAATAGATATAAATCAACCTTTCCTTGTAAGAGACTTTTTTTAAGGGGCTGGGTGGTCGTGGCCATTTTTAGACTATTTCGATCTCCTTTAGAAGAAGCGCTAAAGATATAAAACAATTATCAAATTTTAAAACTAATATGTATGAATTTTTTTTAAGTCAAATGATACTTGACAGCTAAAGATATCATATCTAAAAATTTAACTTGTACTTGGTGGTTAATTTGATATTAATTTGTTGACCCCCAGCCTCCTTAGATTAAAGAAAAAATGGTTTAATATTCAATTATTAATTTTCAAAAGAACTTCTGTTGTTACATTCATAAGAATAAATATAAGGTTATCCATTAAAAATACATGTACAATGAACAAAGAAAATTTTAAAATTTGTTATAATTTGATGCATTTTGATGATTTTTTTTATAATATTTCAGATGACCATTCTAGAGTCAAATTATCTTTAGAAGATGGTTTTACGTCTGATTATATAAATGCAAATTACATAGAAGTAAGTACTGATAATTGTTGATAGTTGACCTGAAATTTGAAAAAAAAAAGACTCAAAGTAGTAACCATTTACGTTTATCACGTATACTTAGCATGAATAATCAGGAAAGACTTGACATTGCTTTCTCCATTTCACATACAGAATCGTATTGTAATTTAAAATAATAATCTCCGCTCTATCGGCCATTATAATTATATATATATATATAAGGCAATTTAAATTCAATATGCATAAAAAATGCATGTTGTCGTATTTATTTCAGAATTTGGACCGAAAACTTGAATACATTGCAAGTCAAGGTCAGATAATAGTCAATCTTTATCATTTAAACGCTTAAGTTCTCAAGCAAATTGTCTACATTATTCAGGCATTTAGAAGACTAAAACTCGTGTTCAGAAATATTTAGAAATCAATGTCCCAATAAGATGTTCTAAAGGGGGAAATTTTTGGATTATTCAAACGACTGCATATTTATTTTAATGTATCTTATATAAATCAGGAAACCATTTCTGTATTTATTTATAACTTTGATTTGACTAATGTACATACAGGACCGAAAGAAAAGACTTTGATAGACCATTGGAGAATGATATGGCAAGAGAATATTGAATACATTGTCATGCTGACGAATCTTATTGAGGGACCAAAGGTTTGATTTTTTAAATTCCTTTTTTTTTATGAATGAATCAGAAACAAAATATACATGTATTATTATAACAGTAGCTTGCTCCGAAGGGTCGTATCACGTCGAATTGACAGGCGCTGATCATGGAATTAAATGAGACGCTTAGCTTCGAGTTTGATCTGATGATCCGCGCCTGTCAATTCGACGTGATACAACCCTTCGGATCAAGTTACTGTTATGATATTTAATTTATTATATACCATCTTATAACTAGTTAAATATATTGAAATTAACCTGTAGACATTAATTTAATAATATTAATCCATTAAACAAAGCATAATAACAAGGGACTTTTTAACGCGCAAGAAAAATAACGTTATATTTCTGCGTACAACGTCTTCAGTTTCTGAAAGTGGTGATATGGATTCAGAAAACCACCGTATGGTGATCCTGAAAGTCGGATAACGACGTCACGTGATCGCATAAAATCATCAGTAAAATTGAGCGATACACATTAGGTATATAATAAAATGAAGCATTCTGTTTATTCTTTCCCCGTATCAGTTATAAATTGCAGTCTGACATTTTTATAATTTATCAAAATTATGAAACAATTTGCAGAGTTGATTTATGTAAATATTTGTTTATTTCTATACGGTGTTTATTATCTATTTTTTTTCTTATCTTAATTATCATTTTTCATTTATTTTTTGAGCCATCGAAAATAGAAAATATCAAATTCAATTTGTTCACAGAAAAAATGTCATCGGTATTGGTCAAATGAAGACGAAGAATTAGAACTAGATCCATTCTCTGTTACCCTAATTGAGGAAAAGGTGTATGCATATTACGTAATCAGAATTCTGAATTTAAAGAAAAGGGAAGTAAGTACATGTTTTATATGTGGTGCTATATACTTGTACTCTTACATTTTTTTTAAATTAAACTGTTTCCTTCATTTCTTCTTTATTGTATTTGTACTAATTAATTACACCTGCCCAATTTAATTTTAATAAATTATATTTATATAATTATTATATTAAGTAGAAAAACAGCTCTTTCCTTCAGATTTCAAAGTAAAAATAAAGTACACGTCTTATAGTAGATTCTTTTCTTTTTACACAAAATTTTATTCACAAATAAAAGTGAATGGGAGTGAGCAGCAGAAAAAGTCAATTTTATCCCGACTCCCTATTTTATATTATACTAGTTTGTTTAATATGATATCAAAGAGGACAAGGATATTTTTAGACAAGGTAAGTGTTTGACAACATACTTTTCTTATGTACTCACTAGGTAACTGGGTCAAGGAGGGTCTTGCAGTTTCATTATACTAGATGGCCAGATCATGGTACTCCTAATCCACTAGATCTTGTCATTTTTCACAGACATTTTAGACACAAGGTGAACCCAACTCAGCGTCCGATTCTCGTGCATTGCAGGTAAAACAGAGAATATGAAAATAATTTTTAAAAAAGGGGGGGGTTAACTATGAGCACATTAAATATATGCCCGGTTGCAGGTGTTAAGCACTAATGAAACCAATTATAGAGAGAGAAAAAGAGGAACAATTTTTAATTGTGAAAGTCATCAATATAAAGAAAGTTCTTCAGCAGATTTTCCGTCTTTGGAAATGTTTCCTTACTTATCACAGTTTAGATTTTATCATGTTCATACAAGATCATCGGTCCACATTTGCTCTTTCAATCTGATACTGACTTTTATTCAACTTTTAAAAAACAACTTTTCGAATTAGAGAGTTGATTTCTGATTCCACATTTCCTCATCTGCGTACTTTTACGCCTGTTTTTCCCTAAAAAAAGTTAGGAATAGTACATACATGAAAACATCATTCAATTTGCTTCTACTTGTTCATTGTTCTTTATCTGTTTTAAATATCTATTCTATAGTGTACCCATAACATAATATTTCAGTGCTGGAGTAGGAAGAACAGGTACCTTTATTGGCCTTGACGTTCTGTCAAGGTATGGGAAGGACAACGGCAAGGTCAATGTCATAGAGTATGTCAAGACCATGCGTAAAGACAGGATGACAATGATACAAAATGTAGTATGTTTTTTTTGTTGAAAATGGTCAGGATTATCATTGAAACCTCTCTCTCTTTATCTCTTTCTGGATGTGGTTTGTGTGTTCGTTTGTATGTGTCCTATTTTTGTAATTGTGTGTGTTTGTGGGGGGGGGGGGGGGGGGGGGGGGGGGGGGGGGGGGGGGGGGGGGGGGGGGGGGGGGGTGAGGTATGTATGTGTGTTTACCTGCAGAAATAAAACTTTTTTCTTCATAATGCAAGACATTTTGAATACTGAAGGCAGATATTTTTTCTTCCTTTGTTAGAAAATATTTTGTCCCGTTTTAAATCCGTCCAGTTACAGATTTTTTAAAAGAAATCATACTGTGGTTTTTGATTTGCCCCGTCTTAATTTAATTTGCCCCCCGGTGAGTAGGACGAATAGGGCAAACATTAAACGGGACGATTTTTGTTTCTGTTAACAATAAGTTGTATTTTCATTTGCAGTTCAAGCACAAAAATTTAAATGCTAATATATTTGTAGGAGCAATACATTTTCCTGCACCATGCGTTGTTTGAGTTCTTCAGGCGCCAAGGCAGAATAATAAAACGAGAAGGTTTTTTGAATGTCTGTTGTGGTAGTGCGAATCGAGAAACAATGAAGGAAATAACAAATGAATTCAATGTAAGCAACATTTATATTTATATGTAGAGTGAGTGAGTTCATATATCTGTCTTTTATTTTATAACAAAAAGACTGGTAAATTACGATTTTTTAACCGTTTTATTAGGAACTTTCCACACTAAAGCCAGTCTATGATTCGGAAGATTTTACGACTGGTATAAATCATCTTCATCTGAACAAAACTCAGTCAGTACTACCGGGTAAGCCACACTAATATGTGCGTAAAAAGAATTTGATAATTTATGAAACGGTTAATTTTAAAATAATAGTATAATTATAATCGATTTTTTTATGCAGTGGAGCAGTATTTGGTGTCTTTGAGTTCACACGTTTCGGGGAGAGATGCTTACTATAATGCAGTAACTGTTTCGGTATATTTACACTTATTCTCTATTTTTTTTTTCTTAAATCAACCATAATTTTATTTAGAAAGATTTCAAACCAACTTGATTTAATGGTGAACGAAATACCTGTGGATTGTTTTAAACTCATTTTCTTAAAAACTACTTGAGAAAAAAGACTAATATTGAAATCAATGAATGTTCCCTATAAGAAAAATAAAATGTTTTTGCATCTTTTCGTCATATTTTGTGGAAATATATCAGAGAATCCTATTTACAAGTACTTGGGGAGCTTACATTTTAGAACGTGTTTACGCTAACTAAATGCAATAAAAAAGCATGTAATAGCCTTTTATTAAATGTAGTGTAACCTGTGTTCCATAAATAGTAGAATGCTTATATTTGAAAATATATAGTTACATGTATAAGGAGTCTCCATTCTTTCTATACTATAAAGGTTAAGGGCATATCAAGAGGTCAAAGGTCAAATATTGTGACATAATCTACTAAATATCTGAAGTTTTTTTTTTTGGCCATGACATACAATTTTTTCAATTGCCTAAATTTCTGAAACCACTGGTTCAATTTCTCTTTTTTTAAACATTTTATTCTGTAATAATTTTATTTTTTTGTAAATTTTTTTGTTGTTAAAAATTGACTCCCATCAAGCCACAAACCCTGTTTTCACTTAGATCCGACGGTAATTTAGTGTTTCGGCGGTGTGATAACAGGCCAAACAATAAATAAATATTATAATTAACTAATTATAATCACATATTTATTTTACAACAAGTGTAGGACATTTTCATGTAAATTCAATTTGTCAATTCTGACGCTATTTATGTTCTTTTTTCATGTAATTGTTTACTCATATATTATATTAGTATCAATATAACTTACTGAGTTTAAGTAACAAAAAGGTTATCTTTTTTAAACAGTATTAAACGATTTGCAATAGATCATTTGGTAATTTTAAGCATGTTGAATGCTATATTTCACAATCTTCTAACAGGGGTCAAACTATGTGGGCAAGAATATTTTGGTTGAATTTCTTTCATAGTTTTATATAAAGAGAGATTTTGTATCCTAGAACAAAATATCAAAGTTTCAGAAAAATTTAATTTTAAGAAAACGTTGGCGTATCTATCGGGTCCTACCTTATAATATTTGTATTTCTAAATGCTTGAGACTCTATGTGAAAATGACACTATATTTTATTTGAGAAATAAAGTATCATTTTTTAGTTGTAGCTTATAAATGGAAGCATAAAAGTCTTAGTGACATGTTCAAATTCTAAGTACCAAAGCGTCACAGTAGACCTGAAAATGCACTTACCAAACTCAATGAAATTTGATCTAAATTCTTTATGATATATATTATTACTAATTTATTTTTACGACGACATTTTAACAAATAATTGCGTTTTTGAGATTAAAACTCAAGAAATTATCTTGCTTTTTTTACCCTAATTGCATAATTTGAACGTGTTGTCGAAACAAATTTATTACCTTGATGTTATTTTCATAAAGCTTCGATCTTTTCAACTAAACAATAAAATGATGAATGCGTAGTTATAAGGATACTCATTCTTTAAGACTTTAGGGGGAGGGGGGAATAACATTTTCTTTTGCTACAATGTCATCCTTTCGATTTACTACATGTATAGAACAGCTAATACTACTTTTTTTTCAAAATACATGCAGTCTTTCACCCAAGCAGAGGAGTTCATTTCTGCACAACTTCCGGTAACTGGTGCTGCCATTGATTTGGTTCGCCTGCTAGTTGATCAAGAGTCTAATTTCCTTATTTCTTTAAACCCTTTAGCAAACATCGATGAGGTAAGTAGTATTGTATCTCTGAAAATCTTTTGTATATAATATTCGAGAAATGCGTGTATTTGTATTTACATATATTTTAGAAATAATTTATACGCCAAGTGACATGTAAAGGATACTCAATTTCAATATAGATCAAATGTATCGTTTGCATGGTTTGAATATATACCCAAGTTAACTGAAAATTATTTTGCATTGTTTCCTGCACAGATGAAAAAATGGGTTGATGAAAATGTAAAGCAAATCCTGCTGGAACCATACGAAATTAACAAAAGCGCTCAGTCAACGTTAAATGGGATAAGAAAGACAACTCTTAACATCGAAGTAAAGGTATTGAATAGACTACTTTTAAACACTGGCAATTTATTGTAATTGATCATACTTGTACTTCAAACTCACGTACGAATGTTAAATAATACAATCATTTATGTTTACATTATTTTTTATCTAGCTTTATACATGTATATTTAAATAAATTTCACTGAAAAAAATTTTTGTCTTCAAAGGAAAAATTATCCCATGAAGTACATATATTTGAATGCCTTGATTGGAGCCCGGATAACGTACTTCCTGCTGATACATCCTCGTTGATTAATTTAATCAAGCAGTTTAGTTCTGACCGCAAATCGGAACCAGATGGACCGGTGACAGTTATTTCGAAGTACGTATATGATTCAATATAATGATAACTAACAAACATTTTGCTTGGTGCGGCATTTCAAATTGGTGACGTGTCAATCTGAAGGCACGAACGTCTGTTTTTGCTTTTAAAGCTCACCTGAGCTGAAGTCGTGAGCTTTTCTGATCAAAATCTGTCTGTTGTCTGTTCGTCGTTGTCGTCGTCGTCGTCGTAGTCGTCGTCGTCGTTGGCGTCGGTAGCGTTGTTGTAAACTTTTTACATTTCCATCCTCTTCTCAAGAACCATTGGACCAATTTCAACCAAACTTGCTCCAAAGTATCCTTGGTTTAAGGGAATTTAAATTTGTTCAAATGAAGGGCAACGCCGTTTTCCAAGGGGAGATAATTATGAATTAGAGAAAAATCAATGGCATTTTTTAAAAAATCTTCTTAGGAACCACTGGGCCAGGAAAGATGAAACTCATGTGAAATCACCCCCAGGTAAATATGTAGTGTAGATTCAAGTTTGTTCAAATCATTACCCCCTGTGGTAGGGTGGGGCCACAATGGCCGATCAAAGTTTTAAATGAGAATATATACGAAAAATCTGTAAAATCTTCTCAAGAACAATAGGGACAGAAAAGATGAAACTCATGTTGAATCATCCTTGGATACTGATCATTCAAGTTTGTTCAAATCAATACCCCGGGGGTTGGGTGTGGCCACAATGACCGATCAAAGTTTTACCAAGGAATATATAGGAGAAATCTTTAAAATATTCTTCTCTAGAACAAATGAGACAGGAAAGATGAAACTCATGTTGAAATCTCAGGTAGTGTAGATTCAAGTTTGTTCAATCATGACCCCAGGGGGTAGGGTTGGATCACAATAGCTGATTAGATTATTATATAGGAATATATAGGGAAATCTTGAAAAGATTTCTTCTCAATTATGCAAAGCCATGTATAGTGATGTTAATAAGGAAGCATTCTCAGGTACTGTAGATTCTAGTTTGTTCAAATCACAACCCCAAGGGATAAGGTGGGGCTACAATGGGGGTCCAAGTTTTACATTAAAATATATTTTTTTAAAAATCTTTTTGTATAGAATAGCAATGCCATGGTTAGTGATATCCATTTGGAAGTATCCTCAGAGAGTATGGAATTAAATTTGTTCAAATCATAAATTCCAAGGGTAAAGAAGGGTCTCAATGGCAAATCAAAGTTTTACATAGGAAAATATGGGGGAAAATCCCCATAACAGAAAAAGCTATGTCTAGTCATATTGACATGTAAGCATCCTCATGCATTGAATACATGTATTTAAATTTGTTCAAATCATGAGTACCCTTTGGTGTAGGGAGGGAAGCAATGGAGAGTCTAATTCAATTTATTACAAAGTGATATATCCACACAAAATGTTGAATAAAATAATTTTTTTCTCAAGAAGTTATATGCAGTATTGATGTGGAGACATTCTCAAGTAGTATTAGAATATTCAAGCCCCCTCCCTACCCATATCCCAATCTCAGTAACTTTTCAGTTTTGATCTGATTAATGTGCTCAGGTGATTGATGGTGCCCCTCGGCCTCTTGTTTCTATATAAAATATCACAGGGTGAAAAACAATAATTTACAATTAGTGGTACAAAGTTCTTTCATATTGAGTTCAATTTATATTGTGTCTAATTTGACAAAAATAAAAAAAGATACTTTATTATTTCTTTTAAAAAATTAACGACGTTAACAAATACTTCTTTAGATTAAAACAATGTGATTTTTCTCTTATCAAATAATGAACCATAATTTTTATCTATTTCAGAAAGAATAACACTCGTATCTTTATATTGTATGTCCATGATACCTGATTTTATGACTTCTCACTACAGGGACGGAGCTACCTGCTGTGGAGTATTTATTGCTGTGTATAACGCAATAGAACAGCTACAACAAGATGATGAGATAGATCTCTGTTCCATTGTACAACAGATACAATGCCGTAGACCGGAAATGATTGCCACCAAGGTATAGACTTATGTTTCCATTTTTTGAAAAAAATATTTCCATTTGAGGATTTAATTATATTTCAATAAAGACAAGAACTTAAAATAGCTTAATCGGTTAGTTTTGTTTTCAAAAGGATTCAGGTATAAAATGAACAACATATTTTGGTACATACTGTATGGAATGAAATACATTTTAATCATTATATTAAATTGTATAAACATCTGTTTGAATAACGATATAACAAGATATTGCTAAGGATAATATACTCCAATTTACATTACAATGCCGTTGTTTTGTCTTTATTTTCAGGCGGAGTATGAGTTTTGTTCAAGAGCTGTTTGTGATTTTCTGAATATGAACAATGTTTATGCCAATACTTAACTACCTCACACAAGACGTTGCTTCTGATTTGTTCAATAGGAACTAAAATAAGTTGCATGGAAGTGAAAAGATATATAAATATTTCAATGAAGAAACTGGCAGCATCTAAAATGTAAACATTCTTTCTGCTAGGATATTTTGTACAACCAAAAGTTCAATAAGGATTTAATTTTTTTTTCTTCATTGTATTATCACAGATCCTGCTTAACTTTCGTTTTTTTAGCTCACCTGAGCCAAAGTGAGCTAAAAAAGTGAGCTTTTCTGATCGAAAGTGAGCTTTTCTGATCGAAATTTGTCCGTTGTTTGTCGTTGTCGTCGTCGTCGTCGTTGTCGTTGTAAACTTTTCACATTTTCACCTTCTTCTCAAGAACCACTGGGCCAATTTCAACCAAACTACACAGTATCCTTGGGAAAAGGGGATTCAAGTTTGTTCAAATGAAAAGCCACGCCCTTTTCCAAGGGGAGATAATTATGAATTAGAGAAAAATTAATGGCATTTTTAAAAAATCTTCTTATCAAGAACCACTAGGCCAGAAAAGATGAAAGTCATGTGGAATCATCCTCAGGTAGTGTAGATACAAGTTTGTTCAAATCATGGCCCCTGGGGGTAGGGTGGGGCCAAAATGGCCGATCAAAGTTTTACATAGGAATATATAGGGAAAAAAATTAAAAATAATCAACTCAAAAAACTAGGCCAGGAAAGGTGAAAGTCATGTGGAATCATCCTCTGGTAGTTTAGATTCAAGTTTGTTCAAATCATGACCCCCGGGGTAGGGTGGGGCTAAAATGGCCGATCAAAGTTTTACATAGGAATATATAGGAAAAATCTTTAAAAATCTTCTTCTCGAGAACCACTGGGCCAGGAAAGATGAAACTCATGTGGAATCATCCTCAGGTAGTGTAGATTCAAATTTGTTCAAATCATGACCCCCGAGGATTAGGATGGGGCCAAAATGGCCGATCAAAGTTTTAAAAAAGAAATATATAGGAAAAATCTTCTTCTTAAGAACCATTGAGACAGGAAAGACGAAACTCCTGTAGAATCATCCCTGGGTAGTGCAGATTCAAGTTTGTTCAAATCATGACCCCTACGGGTAGGGTGGGGCCAAATGGCCGATAAAAGTTTTACATAGGAATATATAGGGATTAGAGAAACCTTTAAAAATCTTCTTTTCAAGTACTTCAAAGCCATGCCTCGTGATATTCATAGGGAATCATCCTCAGGTAGTATAAATACTATTTTGTTCAAATCAGGACCCCCTTGGGGGTTAAAATTCAAGCCCCCCCCCTCAGTAAACTTTCAGTTCTGATCTGATATGTGCTTTTTCCTAGCCAATTGCTCAGGTGAGCGATGGGCCCCTGGGCCTCTTGTTTTATATGAAGCTATGTAATTGGTTGCATTGACTTTTATTTTTCTAACTTTGTTTTTTTTAATTTTCACACAATTACCTTCTTGTCCATGTCCATCGTCAAAGGTCTGCCCATTGCTCATGCCAATCTATTATTTTGTTGTTTTTTTTTTTATCCCGAGTCAAAATTATTCTTGCACAAATTATTTGTGTGGTACATATGAATTTCAATAGATTACTTATTTATTTTCTCAGGATTTTCAGACATAAAAATCTTTTTTTTTTAATTTACAAAAAGTAACATGATTAATTATGTATCCAATTTATTATACTGTAGATTTTATTACCGTGCATGTATATCGCGGAATATTTGTATGAGTTTGCTGTTTAAATGCACGAGCTTGCGAGAAATATTTTTTTCAGCCAACATTTGCCAACATTCACTGATATAAGTTCAATAATTCATTTTATCTTCTGCAAGAACATATCCAATCAATTCATTTAAATTCTTAATTCGGAATGTTCGTGAAAATTCATATTCGTCACGAAAACTCTACGTTTAATGGAACGCCAAGATATTTAATGCTAATGCTATTTTTTTTTTAAATTTCTATTCAAAAGATTTCCAAAGCTCCAAATGTTGAAGTATCATTAAAATACAAATAATTTGTATTGAAAATAAAAAAATATATATATATATTTCAATCTTATCAAGAATGAAAAACTGCAAAAATCAAACATTTTCGCTTCATTCATTATAAAAATTAAAGAAGAAAGAATGAAGTTTAAGAGACTTCGATTAGCGAGATGGTCATCTTCTTTTACATCAGTGGTCCTCTTATATGCATGAGCTCATACATCTTTACGTTGCGTTAGTTATTTTTCAGCTTGTTCATCCCCATGTTGTTAGAGTTGTTTAAGACTTTCCTACAAATGATCACACTCGACTGGCCTCCATGTTTTTTTCACTTTTTTTCAAGTGAATGTATGTACGGAAATGAATTAAAACTTCTCTGTATATTAATAATTTTACCTCAACAGCTATATGTAATGGCTAATTTGCATAATCAGTCCTCTTATCACTGAGCTATCAAATCTGATAAAATACAGTGTTTTTTAGCACTTTTGATTCCGTTAAAAAACGACAAGGAAACGAGTCATACATGTGTAACATTATACTTTGATGGCTCCCACGCGTTCGGGTTGGTTTCTTTTAGCAACTGGAGTAATTTATGCATCAGGTAGGTTTCAGAATATAATTTAATGATAAAGAGTATCTTCTTGTTTCATATAATATACGCATACCAGTATTTATTTAGGATTATTTTATATTTCTAAAAATTGATTGGTCTTTCTTTAATATATAGATGTTAATAACTAAAATTTTCTATTCAAAATTATAATTTTAATTTTAGCTCACATTACCAATCTCCTAAGTATAATTAATTTAGATGCATTTGTATGTTAGCTGTTACTTTAAGAGTTTTCAAAGATTTTCGATCGATGACTGACAATTAACTTATTTTCCTAGGGGTTTAATTTTCGTTCTTATCGAGGCATGGAGAAACCACAGAATTTATTTTTGCCAGATCACTACCAAACATTCTTCAACCGCTAAGTCAAATCCCCGCAAATCAATATTTTTTTCCTCAAACCTGTAAACTTCCCTTACAAGATTTTTTTCATTTTACTAATTGTCGATTTATGATTTCAAGTTAACCTATTTTTAAAACTCAGTGTGTACTAGCAAAGATATATTACTTAAATGAGGAAAAATGTAAGACTTATTCATTAAAAACTCATACTCAAGCATGACCTGATACAGATAAAATGCTAGAAATTGCTTTATGTAGCCTCTAAACATAGTCTTAATTTTCGTAATTAAAAAAACCTTCAAAACCAAAAGATTTATGTTTATATCATTGTATGATTTATTTTATTATCGTATAATAATAAAAGTTTTGTTTTGCGAAACTAAATCTGAAACAGTCTTAATCATAATAAAATATATATTTGGATTTGCATACGTTTTGCAGTCATCCAAAATAAGGCCAAAAATAAATGTTTGATTTCAAAATGTCGGTTAATACAGTGTATTTTCCTATATATAATCTATGAACAGAAACACATTTACTTAAGCCAAGCGTAACTGGTTATCCTCGAACCTATTTTGAAGATAAATTAAGTAAAGATAGAAATGTAATTAAAATTCTCAAGGTCGGTATCTGAAAAAATTTTTCCTTGTTTGAACAGTCGCTGACTTTTAATTTTTTTTTGTGCGAACGAATAAGGCAACAGTCCCTTGTTATGGAAAACCGTTCAAACAAACAACTTAAGATTAAAGAAAATGCATACCCTTCACATGACAAAAAATATGTACATGGGTAAACACTTACTGAAATGTTATACTGCCCTTGCACTCATTAGAATATGTTTAAAAAGTTACATGTCCTAAATTATCATAAATAATAGTTGATTGGTTTATTTAAAACTAAACGAGACCTAAGTAAACTAATATTATGTTTGCTAGGCATGGATTGGGCAAATTATTAACAAAACTGTTGCAAGGAAGTAGATCAAGCTTGTTTGAGGCAAATGCAGGTCTATTAAGCGGCTCAACCAACCGTTTTAATTTCTTGCGGTAAAAATTAAATACGTGCATAACAATTGAACAGAAAATGTTTAGTAAACGTTCTGTTACGTTGTCTTTTATTTTAAATAAGCAGGAAACAGGTGCACTAAGACCTTTAAGCTCTTAAGAAAACAATTACAATATTTAAGTAAATAATGAATCTTTACTAGGCTATTCAGTTAATTGAAAGCTTAAATATTTTCTGAAAGGGGGCTAAAGGGCATAACGATGCAAATTAGTGACTAATTCAGACCTGTCAGTGACAATTTGATCAAATTACTAAGATTGATAATGTGTTGATTTAAATTAGTACGGGAGAAATTTCAATTACATTTTTTTATATTTCAAATCTACTATAAAACTCATTCTGAATGATAGGGAAAGATGAAATGTCACCAAGTGTTCCTCTCTTTGTAACTGAAGTAATTTAAGATTGGAATTTATTTTCTAAATATCATTTTATGCCAAAGATATGTGTGTTTTATACAAAAATTTTCAAAGCAGGTTTCATATTTAAAAATATATAGAAATATGAAAGAATATAGAACAAGATGTGTTTGTGAAACACTATGCGCCCCGCGTCAACAAAGTTTGAAAAAGATATTTTTAGTATATAGGTCACAGACAAGGTCACAAGGTTATTGACCTTGGTGTTGTTTGAAAGAACTTTATTAGTGGAGTATGCATACTAAATATGAAGTCCCTATCTCCTATGGTTCAAAAGTTATGGCAAAAAGTTAAAAAAGCTATTTTTAGCATATAGGTAACAGTAAAGGTCACAAGGTCATTGACCTTGATGTCATTTGAAAGAAGTTTATTCGTGGAGTATGCATAATAAATATGAAATCTCTATCTTATATGGTTCACAAGTTATGACAAACAGTTGAAAAAAGCTATTTTTAGCATATAGGTCACACTCAAGGTCACAAGGTCATTGACCTTGATGTCATTTGAAAGAACTTTTTTAGTGGAGTATGCATACCAAATATGAAGTCTCTATCTTTTATGGTTCAAAAGTTGGTTAAAGTTGACAGCAGACAGACAGACAAACAGATAAACAGACAAACAGACAAATATACATGACAAAAACAATATACACATAACAATTAAAAAACATACATAAAAATGAGGTCTTCCTTTTGAGAATTAACAAGATGTGTTTGTGAAACAC